GTCCAGTGAGTCAGTGGTCCAGTAGTTCTATGGTCCAGTGGTTCAGTGGCTCAGTGAGTCAGTGGTCCAGTGGTTCTATGGTCCAGTGGTCTAATGACTGTGGTCCAGTGAGTCAGTGGTCCAGTGAGTCAGTGGTCCAGTAGTTCTATGGTCCAGTGGTTCAGTGGCTCAGTGAGTCAGTGGTCCAGTGGTTCTATGGTCCAGTGGTCTAATGACTGTGGTCCAGTGAGTCAGTGGTCCTGTAGTTCTGTGGTCCAGTGGTTCAGTGGTCCAGTGGTCTAATGACTGGTCCAGTGAGTCAGTGGTCCAGTGGTTCTATGGTCCAGTGAGTCAGTGGTCCAGTGAGTCACTGGTCCAGTGAGTCAGTGGTCCAGTAGTTCTATAGTCCAGTGGTTCAGTGGCTCAGTGAGTCAGTGGTCCAGTGGTCCAATGACTGTTGTCCAGTGAGTCAGTGGTCCAGTAGTTCTATAGTCCAGTGAGTCAGTGGTCCAGTGGCTCAGTGAGTTAATGGTTAGGGTTACTTTAAGAAAAAGTAAATTATAAAATATATAATAATGAAAAACTCTTTGAAGTTTTAAGTAAATTGACTCTGATTCAGAGAGAAAGAAATCAAACCGATCCTGCAGATAGGAAATGTTTGGATCTAGTTTCCTGTCTAAAACCTGAACCTGTTGGTGGATCAGGGACCTCCTGCAGACTCTTGTCTTGTTCAGAAGCCTCTCGGTTGTGACCAGTCAGTATTTTTACAGTAACAGTATTCTATCATTTCATTGCCTGACAATGGATGTCTTGTCARTGTTTTTAACCTCAGATAAAAGAAAAAAAGARTTTTTGTGCACTTATTGACCATCGTGAGCTCTATCTCTCTCTTCTTCTTGATGTAAGTGCATWGAGCTCCCCGCTGTGGGACCTGTGTATAGTCTTGCAGCATTGGTTATAACCTGAAGAAATATTGATGAAAACGAATGAATTCATAATAATGAAGCTAATCTTATTCTACAYTAAAAAGACAGTGAATCTAGTTGTTGTTTGTGGCATGGTTATGCATTCAATGGTCATAATTTAATGATTAAAATGAAAAAAAAAAACTTTTTTCTTTCCACTGGTGCTGTTCTGCTGTTTTTGTTCTCCACTTCAGTGTGCAGTATTGCAGTTCCTGTTGCTTATGGTGTTGCTAAGCTCGCTCGCTCGCTCAGTTGTTTACCACCAGAGCAATATGTTGTAGCAGTGTGACGAGAGGCCAAGACCAGAAACATTCCCTTCAACGTACAGCATTAACGTGCATGAATCTTTACTGCAAGTCTTCAGTGATTTGATTTTGGTGTTCTGTATTGTTGATCCTAATAAAGCGGATTTGCAGATGTGGTGTAATGTATTGCTCTGGCCATCCATCATCACTCTTCCTCTCCGCTCACATCCTCCTCCTCCTCAGCTGCTTCAGGTGAAGTTCAACCAAAACTGTTTGATTTGCAGAGATTGTTAGATGAAAACACAGAAARCTGGTTTTATGACTCCTCTCCAGAAAGAATAATAAAACGATCAGATGTGGTTAGCCCCACCCCCAATCAGGACTTCTGTAAAAGCATCTGGAACCAACCAAAGGAGCAGAACCCTTCAGAACCTTCAGCTGATCCTCCTGCTGTCAGGTTGATGTTGTGAGCAACTCCTCCTCCCTTCATCTCGTATGTTGTCTCATCCCGTGTCCTTATTGTCTCCCTGCTGAAGGTGGACTCACTTCATCTTTCCAGGATCCTGGACTCACTCAGGATCCACAAACGTAAAAAAAAAACACGATTTTTAAGACAAACCTGATGTCCAACATTTTGTGAAAAAGATTTAAGCCGTTTCTGGACAATCAGAGTCCGTCCACCTGTTGTCCACCAGGAACTGATTGACTCATCACRTCAGGTTGGACATCCTGGACTTCAGACATCTTTTTGTTTCTGTCCATCATGCTCCAGCCTTTTTGTATGGCACTGCTCGGTAGCACAGCTTGATCTGATTCACTCCTTCATTTCTGTACATATGTGTGCCAACAGCTCGGCAGACAGCAGCTTTTTTATTTGTAAAAACATAAACTTGCTTGCATCTATAAATAAAATGAAATAAGACACACGTGTATTTGTTTAAAAGGGAACATTCTGAGTTTGTGTCTTCATTTCACTCACGTCTCAGATTAATGTTGATCAAAACGGTGAACCTCAGCAAGAAGATTAATGATCCAAYAAAGGACAAAAAAACTGAATCTTTAACTGTTTTACTTCCTGGAGAAGCTTCTGGAAGGATTCCAGTCAGGGATGGAAAATAGATCCYTTCTGAAGGCTCACTGACGCCCCCTGCTGGTCAACGGCTATACTGACGCAATAATGCAACGCTATCATTATTCTAGATCCAAATAGGTGTCCCCCAGAACCCAGAGTCTGGTTTACCGGTCAGGACCCCAGAGTCAGCTATACCAGTCAGGACCCCAGAGTCTGGTATAAAGGTCAGGACCCCAGAGTCTGGTTTACAGGTCAGGACCCCAGAGTCAGGTATACCAGTCAGGACCCCAGAGTCTGGTATAAAGGTCAGGACCCCAGAGTCTAGTTTATAGGTCAGGACCACAGCATTAAGTTTACAAGTCAGGGTGACAGAGTCCCCATTAAGACCCAACATGTCCCCAACATGAGGACTCATCCTGTCCCCATTAGGACCCAAAAAGTCCCCAACATGAGGATCCAACCTGTCCCCATTAGGACCCAACATGTCCCCAACATGTGGACCCAACCTGTCCCCATTAGGACCCAACATGTCCCCATTAGGACCCAACATGTCCCCAACATGAGGATCCAACCTATCCCCATTAGGACCCAACATGTGGACCCAACCTGTCCCCATTAGGACCCAACGTGTCCCCAACATGAGTACTCAATCTGTCCCCATTAGGACCCAACCTGTCCCCATTAGGACTCAACCTGTCCCCATTAGGACCCAACATGTCCCCAACATGTGGACCCAACCTGTCCCCATTAGGACCCAACGTGTCCCCAACATGAGGACTCAACCTGTCCCCATTAGGACCCAACCTGTCCCCATTAGGACTCAACCTGTCCCCATTAGGACCCAACATGTCCCCAACATGAGGATCCAACCTATCCCCATTAGGACCCAACATGTGGACCCAACCTGTCCCCATTAGGACCCAACGTGTCCCCAACATGAGTACTCAATCTGTCCCCATTAGGACCCAACCTGTCCCCATTAGGACTCAACCTGTCCCCATTAGGACCCAACCTTACCTCATTAAGGCCTAATGAGCTAAATGGACCTAGGATGTTCATTTGAGGACCAACATGTCCCCTGAGGACAGAAAAGAGGGAACAAAGCCAGATCAGAAGTGTTCTTCAGACCTGTGGCTGTTTGGTGGAGTTCTGCACAGCTGTTTAATGTTTAATGAAATGTTTTATTAAAARCAGAATAACAGTTATAATAAAATGAACTCTGAAGAACATCTGACACATTTGAAATCACAGTACAGAAAAACTGAGGATAAAATCTGTTTTCAGCTCATCTTGTGTCACAAATTAAAACAAATAATATGATCTAAAATCAGTTTTCTGCAGCAGAAATCAGGATTATTCTTAACAAACAAGTTAGAAAATAAACACAATGTGCACACAGCTGGTTTCTGTGGGGTTAGTGGATCAGAGTTTCTCATATTTAAATCACAGGTTCTGAACATCTGGTCCTATAGAGGTCTGGGTCAAATGATGCCCAGGTTTTCGTAGATGACGCCATCCTGAGGTTCCTCTGAGGGCTTTGAGGACGAGGGGGTGCTGATGGTTGTGGTGGTTCTACTGGGTGCTTTACAGACCTGAGCATACAGGTGGGCGAATGGGTCCGGTTTGGGGGTTTCTCTGGGTTCTGAAACTAAAGGAGTCTTGCTGATGGGTTCAGAGTAAACAGGTTCCCCTCCTGGTTTTTCTGCTCTCAGAAGGATATTTGGTTTGTTCTGGTCTGGACTGATTTTATCAAAGACCTCTGAATAAACTGAATCTGCAACATCTGAGTTAATACCCGAGTCTGAGGAGGTAGTACCAAGAGCCTCAGGTTCTGACCGGGGTGGTTTCAGAGGAAGAACATTAACTGGGTCGACATACTGAGCTGTGACCGGACTGGGATTTAAATCAGACAAGAAGCAGATGTTTGGGTCTACATATACGGCTTGTGATTGGCTGCTGTGAAGGGTGGGGATCAGTGGGAGGGGCATAAGGGTGATGGGCACAGGAGCTGCTTCTGATGGACMAGTCAAATCCTCCTGAGCCTTTCCACTGTTGTCCAACACCGGAGATCTCCTGTCCTGAGTTATGTGTATGTTCTCCAGCATGGAGGCCACGCCGGTCCGGTCCGGTACTCTGGGAAGGGGTGAATGAGGCCGGATGTTGACCACTGGAACYTTCTCACCATCTTTGATTTGGCTTCCCAAAGTGACAGGTGAAGTCTTCCTTTTGATGTTACTCCTAATCAGAGAGAATATCTGATCTGCCTGCTGGGTCTCAAATAAGAAGGTTCCAGGTCCGCAGTCACAGCGCCGACCCGTTTCGATGGTCAGAACCAGCTGCAGAGAGAAGAAGAGGGTGGTGAGGAGAAAAACAAAACATCAGTACTCATTCCCAGGCTCTAACAGGAAACAGGTCTGATCTAACAGGAAACAGGTCTGATCTAACAGGAAACAGGTCTGCTCTAACAGGAAGCAGGTCTGCTCTAACAGGAAGCAGGTCTGCTCTAACAGGAAGCAGGTCTGCTCTAACAGGAAGCAGGTCTGATCTAACAGGAAACAGGTCAGCTCTAACAGGAAACATGTCTGCTCTAACAGGAAGCAGGTCTGATCTAACAGGAAACAGGTCTGATCTAACAGGAAACAGGTCAGCTCTAACAGGAAACAGGTC